TGTCCATCATTCCCTCCACTTTATTTGTTTTTATATTGAAGAAACTAAAAGAACAGTTAGGGCGGGAAATTGGTGGATCGGCACAACAATATTATCAAGCATATGATGTTGTTTCAAAACAGCTGATAAAACGAACAGAACTCCGAGATAGAATTCGAAGGTCCGCTTCGTTAAGGTCGAATCTTGCTATGCGAGTTCAAGCGGTTGAGCGTTGCGATCCAGACAGTCGAATGGATCGGCCAAGCAGTTAACAATTTAAGGCTTTTTAACTTGGGGGGCGCGGCTGGACTTTCGCTCGTCAGTCTTGCCAAACCATCTCGCTTCGACAGCGTTCACAATAAGATAAGAGATCTATTTTTTTATGTTCGTTTGACCCTATATTGAATTCATGGCTGATCGCACCCGAACACGACTGTTAAATGCCTTGAAGTCCGCCGGTCCGCAGACGGCTGCGGACCTGGCCCAGGACCTCAGCGTCACGTCCGTCGCCGTGAGGCAGCATCTTGATGGATTGCACCAGGACGGCCTGGTGGATTTTGAGGACGTGAAGGGGTCAGTCGGCCGCCCCAAAAGGGTCTGGGATCTGACATCCGCAGGACATCAGCAATTCCCGGACAGTCACTCGACGTTGATTGTGGGTCTTTTGAGCGGCCTTAGCGATCTCTACGGAGATGACGGCCTGGAAAAGCTCATCACGCATCGCGAAGAGAAAACCCGACAGTCCTATACAGAGGCCCTGAGCGATCTGGCCGATCTGCCCGAGAGGGTCGAGGTGCTTGCGGATTTGCGCAGCCGCGAAGGCTATATGGCAGAAGTAATCCGGGATGATGACGGTTTTCTTCTGGTGGAAAACCACTGCTCGATTTGCGCCGCGGCAACGGCCTGCCAGGGATTTTGTCGCTCGGAACTGAGACTGTTCAGGGATGTTCTGGGACCAGATGTCGCCGTTGAGCGTGTCGAACATCTTTTGTCCGGAGACCGGCGTTGCATGTACAGGATCAAACCGCAGGATTGTTCCTGACCACGGGGACGCAGTTTTCCGTTTGCTGAATTCGGGAGTGTAAGGCGTGGCGATTGCCAGACCGATGTTGGCCGGGTTGATTAACAGGTATTTCCGGCCCTTCGAAAAACACCTGAAACCTCTTGACCTGCCGGTGAATCCTCTGCCCGACCAGGGGCCACTTCGGCTCGTTTGGCATTTTGCCAAGATGTTCCGCCGGCAACTCGTGATCGTGTCGGTGCTGGCGATGATTTCCGCCGCGCTTGGGCTCGCCGGCATCTGGGCGATAGCCTACGTGGTCGATGGCGTTACCGCGGGAGGAGCAGCGGTGTTTCTGCGCGGCCATGGCTGGGTGCTCGCAGGCTTTTTCGTTCTCTTTGTGATCGTGGACCCCCTGGCGTTTCTTTTGCGCCAGACATTTGCATTTCAAACCGTGCGCATTCTGTTGCCGGCAGCGATGCGCTGGCAGGCGCACAAGGCCGTCGAGGCCCAGGATCTTGCCTTTTTTGAAGACACGTTTGCCGGGCAGGTGGCCTCGCGTATTGCCCAGGTGACAATGTCGGTTCACCGGCAGATGATGCTTGCGATCGAGACGATCCCTTATCTTGTCATCCAGTTCGGCGGTTCGTTCCTGTTGCTGTTGGCATTGTCATGGCCATTGGCGATACCCGTTCTGGTCTGGATAGCGGCCAATTCACTTGTCGCCTGGCTGGCAATCCCGACCTATATGCAACGATCTGCCAAGGTGGCCGCTGCCAACTCGCGCGCAACCGGCGCCATGACGGACGTCTATTCCAATATCGCGATGGTAAAGCTTTTCGCGGCCGAAGACTCCGAGGCGGGAGCGATCCGCAAGGTCATTGGCGAAACGATCGATACCAGGCATAGCGAAAACCGGTCCTATATCCTGACCGACAGCTGTGTCTATTTCCTCAACGTGCTGATGATCCTGGCGGTCGTGGCCATCGGCTTCTGGGGCATGACCGGCGGGTGGGTGTCGATTGGCGATTTCGTTGCAGGACTGACGGTCACCAGATCCCTGTCGGCAGCTTCTTCGAGATTCATCGGCGTCGGCCAGTCCATCACCAGCACGCTGGGAACCATCAAGGATGCGATGCCCATCATGACCAGCCGGCCGGAGATCACCGATCGGTCGGGTGCCTCGGCGCTGGACGTGACAAAGGGGCGGATCAGCTTCGAGGATGTTTCCTTTGCCTATCACAAGGACCGAAAGCCGATTCTTGAGGCTTTCAATCTGACCATTGAACCAGGGGAACGTGTCGGACTGGTGGGACTGTCGGGGGCAGGCAAGTCGACGGTCATTTCCCTGCTCATGCGTTTGCGGGATGTAACGAGCGGCAGTATCTCGATTGACGAACAGGACATACGGAGCGTGACCCAGGCCTCGCTGCGCAGTCAGATCGGCGTCGTCACACAGGACATCTCGCTGCTCAACAGGTCGATCCGGGACAACATCCGTTATGGCAAGCCGGATGCGGGTGATGACGAAATCCGGGCGGTCGCAAAGGCTTCGGAGGCGCTGGAGTTCATTGATGAGCAAAAAGACAGCAAGGGTCGAACAGGGCTCGATGCACATGTCGGCGACAGGGGCGTCAAGCTTTCCGGCGGTCAGCGTCAGCGCATCACGATCGCCAGGGTATTGTTGAAAAATGCACCGATCCTGATTCTGGACGAGGCAACGTCTGCACTAGACAGCGAGGCAGAGCTTGCCATTCAGCAAAATCTTGCCCGGATGATGGAGGGGCGGACCACCCTGGCCGTCGCGCACCGCCTGTCGACAATCGCTGCGATGGATCGTCTTGTGGTCATGGACAAAGGCAGGGTTGTCGAGGAAGGAAATCATCGTGATCTCCTGGCTCTCGGTGGACTTTATGCAGTGCTTTGGGAACGGCAATCCGGCGGTTTTCTGGCGCTCAATGCGGCTGAGTAACTCGGAGAGGCCCTGTTGATCGGCGCAACCGAGCGGCACTAGCAGCGCTGCAAGACGACCTTGAAGTGCCACTGTTCGAATGCACACTCCGTCGTCATGTGGCGATGGAGTGCCTCGAAACGGTGACGGAGTTCATTTCCCACCCGCCTGGTGCCCTTCCCGTAGCCCAACAAGGGTTTGAACCATTGCTCGCGCGGCAAATTTGGATGTTTCGTTGATTTTGATCTGCAACTTGTTGATTTTTCGAAAGAAGGGTCACAATACTCCCGCATGGACAAACGAGAACGCGCAGAACTCTTTCGTGAACGCCTTTCCGACGCGATCCGCAGCCGGGACATGAACCGCAGCGATCTGGCGCGGGGCGCGCGGCTGGACCGGTCGACGGTGTCGCAACTCTTGTCGGAAGACGCGCCGCGCTTGCCAAACGGTCAGGCGCTTGCGGCGATCGCAACTGCGCTCGGCGTGTCTGCGGACTGGCTTTTGGGATTGTCCACGCACCGTGGAGCCGCTGCGGAAATTCTGGATCAGGCTGTTCAGATAGCAGAAACCGACCGGCACCCGGTCGATGAGCACCTTCTGGCCTGGTACCGCGATGCGGTTGGCGCCAAGATCCGTCATGTTCCAGCCAACCTGCCTGACGTTTTGAAGACCGAGGCAGTCCTGGCTTATGAATACGCGGGGGAAACTTTGCGCACGGCGGATCAGGCGATCACCGGAACACGGGATCAGCGAGCGTTGTTGCACCGGGCAGAATCGGACATGGAAATTGCCCTTTCCCGCGAAGCTCTGGAAGGCTTCGCACGAGGAGAGGGGCTCTGGTCCGGACTTTCACCCGATGAGCGGCGCGAACAGCTTGAAGTCATGGGCAAAAGCCTGTCGGATCTTTACCCTTCATTGCGGCTTCATCTGTTTGGGGCAACAGATCGCTATTCCTCACCCTTCACGGTATTCGGTCAGAAATGGGCAGCGCTTTATCTCGGACAGAGATACCTCGCTTTTTCAAATACCCGCCACGTGCAACTTTTCGCGGGCCATTTCGACGATCTTGTACGCCACGCGGTAGTCCGCTCGCATGAAGCCGGGGATTTCGTGTCGCGGCTTGCAAGCGACATCTGAATCTCCCCGCCATTTTCCTCACGAACCTTGGCATTTTGCAGGGCTGCAACGTGGTCGTGCAAAGCAATTGCGCGCACGATTGCACCTGTGCCGTTGGAAACCGTAGGGGGCTGTTTTTTGAAAAAATAGTTTGCTTTTTCCTTGAATACACTGCGTTGAGTGGTCAGGTGCATGGGGCGCATGACACACTCATCAGTCGATTTTTCTTGACAAATGAAAACTTTTGAATACAAATGTAAACGAATTGATGCAAACGAAGACAATTGGTGACGCGTATGCCAAAGAGTATTCCGATAAGTGTCAGGCTCAGCGATGACGATGTCTCGTTCCTGGCGGGTTACGAGGTTCAGGGCGCCAGAACCCCAAGCGACAAGATGCGGGAAATTCTGAAGGCAGCGCGGGAACGCGAAGAGGGCGTTCAGGATGTCGAGGCCTGTGAGGATCTGCTCCGCACTATGGCGCGGCCGGCCGAGAAGGGGCTTCGGCAATTACAAAGGGAAATCGGAAACAGATCCGATCTTGTCATGAAACTGTATGAGCGATTGCCGGAAATGCTGGCGGAACTCATCGCATCGGCGCCGGGACCGGAACAGGGAGAACAGGATCTGGTAAAGTTCGAGGCAGCGTTGTCCGCAGAGCTGTTTTCATTGATCGAGGAGATATTTGACCTCGGACTGACCACCCCGAGCCGAACCTACGATCCGGTACTCATGGACAGGCGTCTCGAGCCCATTCTCGAAGTTGCGCGGCTGCTGGATCAAAGGCGTCAAACCAGGGACTAGGGGGCCTGTATCGGCAAATGACTGCTGAACGGGCCACGGTAAATACGGAATAAGTGTAGCAGTAACATGCGCACCAACCCGTCGTTTCGGGTATCGGTTGGATACCGGATTTTTTGAATTTTTTGAGAAGTGGAACGGAAAGGAAGGAAAGATGGCAGAAGGTCTCGTAACACGCGTCAAGCGTCTGGTCTCCGGCGGTGTGAACCAGTTGGTGGACTCCATTGAAAACACTTCCCCCGCAACCGTCATGGAAGAGGCAATCCGGGAAGTGGACCGGGCCGTCGATCAGGTCCGTGATGAATTGGCCGGTGTCTTGGCGAACAAGCACCTTGCAAACACCCGGCTTGGGGAAACGACAACACGTCACGAAGAGCTGCAGGGTCAGATTGCCGTGGCGGTGAAAGAAGGGCGGGACGATCTCGCGGAAGCAGCCATTGCGCGCCAGCTTGACCTCGAAGTTCAAATTCCGGTTCTGGAGTCTGCAGTCGCAGATGCCAGCCGGGAGGAAAAGGAACTGGAAGGTTATGTGAGCGCTCTCCAGGCGCGCAAGCGTGAGATGGAGGCGGAACTGGTCAATTTCCGCCGTTCCCAGCAACAAAGCGCGACGGACAGTGCAGCATCGGGAGTTGCGGCTCCAAAGGACAGTGTCGAAGGCAAGACCCGCAAGGCGGAACAGGCATTTGACCGTGTCATGCAGAATGCGACCGGTCTGCCCGGCGGACTTTCGACCGACAAGGCCGACGCAACCAAACTTGCCGAGCTGGAAGATCTTGCCCGCAAGAACAGGGTTTCTGAACGCCTTGCCGCATTGAAGGCGTCGGCGAAAGACGGTTGAACATGGTCGAGTTCATCCTAGCCGACCAGAACACACCTTTTGCGGTCGCTCTCGGACTGATGATTGCGATCGCGCTCGCCGAAGGTGTCGGCACGCTCATGGGACTTGGCCTGTCGAGCATGATCGACAGCCTGCTTCCGGAAGTGGATCTGCCCGACGTGGATCTGCCTGATGTTGATGCGCCGGATTTCGACGCCGATATCCAGGCCGGTGCCCTGCCGGGAGATCTTGATACGGTTGCGGCCGGGACCGAGTTGACCGGGCCCGGACAAGGTATCTTCAGCCAGATACTCGGATGGTTGTGCTTCGGCAGGGTGCCGGCGCTGATCATCCTGGTGATCTTCCTCACGGGGTTCGGCCTCGTCGGGTATGTCCTCCAGAGTCTGGTGCAATCCGTCTCCGGATATCTGTTGCCGGGTATCGTGGCCTCCGCCGGAGCTTTCGCGGGAGCGTTGCCCTTTACCAGGGTGACCGCACTCGGATTGTCCAAGGTGATGCCAAAGGACGAAAGCGACGCCGTCTCTCGGCAGACTTTCGTGGGAAAACCCGCGGTGATCGTGCAGGGACATGCCAAGGAAGGCCTTCCTGCGCAGGCGCGTCTTAGCGACCCGACCGGTCAGTCCCACTATGTGCTTGTGGAGCCGGACGTTGAAGGCGAAGTGCTCGAGCAGGGTACGAACATCATCATCGTACGCCAGCAGGGACCGCATTTCACGGCGATAAGGAATACCAACGCGACATTGACCGGCGCTGGCGATTGACGCTGGTGCCGGGCTGAAAATTTCCATCAAAAAAAACAAAGGGAGTTGTAAGTTATGGACCAACTCATAAGTATTTTGATCCTGGTCGGCATCGGCTTTGTGGCGCTGCTGGCCGTTGGCTTGATCATTTCCAGGCTCTATCGCCGGTCTTCGAAAGAAGTGTCGTTTGTGCGTACCGGTTTCGGTGGCCAGCGTGTCATCATGAACGGCGGCACGCTTGTGTTGCCTGTGCTGCATGACGTCATTCCGGTCAACATGAATACGTTGCGTCTGGAAGTCCGCCGTTCCAACGATCAGGCGCTGATCACCAGGGACCGCATGCGTGTCGACGTCCTGGCAGAATTTTATGTCCGGGTTCAGCCGACCATCGAATCCATTGCCAATGCAGCGCAGACGCTTGGTCAGCGGACCATGAAGCCGGAGGCTCTGCGTGAACTTGTTGAGGGCAAGTTCGTTGATGCCTTGCGCGCGGTTGCCGCGGAAATGGCAATGGAAGAGCTGCACGAGCAGCGCGTGAACTTTGTGCAGAAAGTGCAGGCTGCGGTTTCGGAAGACATTCTGAAAAACGGTCTTGAGCTGGAATCGGTATCACTTACCGGTTTGGACCAGACCAACCGCGAATATTTCAATCCTGAGAATGCCTTCGATGCCGAAGGTCTCACGAAACTTACCCAGGAGATCGAGGAACGCCGGAAGAAGCGGAACGACATCGAGCAGGAAACCGAAATCCAGATCAAGCGCAAGAACCTGGAGGCCGAACAGGAGCGTCTGCAGATCAATCGCGAAGAGGAATTCGCCAAGCTTGAACAGCAGCGCGAGATCCAGATCCGCCTGGCTGAGCAATCCTCTCTGATTGCCAAGCAGCAGGCGGAGCGCGAGCGTGAAGCCGAAGAAGCCAAGATCCTGGCGAGCCAGAAGGTCAAGGAGAAGGACATTGAGTCCAACCAGGCTGTCACCGAACGTCAGATCGCGATGGATCAGCAGGTGCGTGAACGGGAAATCTCCAAGGAACGCTCGGTCGAGGCGGCCAATGTCGAAAAACAGAAACTGATTGAACTTGCCGAGCAGGACCGCGATATCGCGGTAGCCGCCAAATCCCGCGAAAAGTCCGAGGCGGAAGCCGAGGCCGATGAGGCAAGGGCAATCGCCGCACGTGCAGCCGAACAGGTTTCGACGGCTCGGGAAACCGAAGTTGCCGAGCGAGACAAGCAGATCGAACTGATTGAAGCCCGCAAGGCGGCCGAAATGGATGCTGTCGCGATCACCGTCGGTGCCGAGGCGCAAAAACAGGCCGCCGCCGACCATGCGGAAGCGGTCCGGATCGCCGCGGAAGCCGAGGCTGCGAAACTTCGTATCGAAGCGCAGGGCTCTGCAGAGGCTGACAAGCTTCGCGCGGAAGCTGAAAAAGCACTTTATGAAGTGGAGGCCGACGGTCAGCGTGCGATCAACGAGGCTGCCAACCTCTTGTCTCCGGACCAGATCGCGATGCAGATCCGTGTCAAGCTTCTGGAGCAGTTGCCTGAGATCATTGCCGAAAGCGTCAAGCCGATGGAGCAGATCGATGGCATCAAGATCATCCAGGTGGATGGCATGACCGGAGGTGCCGGTGGCGTTGCGAATGGCACGACCGGCAATGGGGCCGGAGGCGGAAACCTCGCCGACCAGATGGTTTCCTCCGCGCTTAAATACCGCTCTCAGGCCCCGCTTCTGGACGCGATGATGAAGGAAGTCGGCCTGGACGGGTCGGGACTTTCGGGGCTGACTGCAGGTCTTGGCGATGCGCCCGCCAATGGAACGACCGCAGGCGAAAACGGCGCTGCAGACATTGCAGCCCATCCGTCGACTGGAAGCTTGACGGCGGAGACAGTCGCGGACACCTCCGGGGAGGCAGCTCCGTTGGTTTCCAAACAAGAAAGTGCTGATCCGACTACCTGATCGCCTTGCACGACACATATTCCGGAGCCAGCTGGCTCCGGGATATCGACCGGGAAAGCAGCCGGCGGATCACGCGGCCTGCAGTCTTGTCCGCGAGAAAAGCGACGACCCGAAAGGGCACGAGTTTGGTGGAACGGGATGGATTACGAAAACAAGGAAAACCACTTCAAGCCTCGTGGGAATCTGTTTCTCGAGATATCGGCCATACTGATATTCGTGATCCTGATCCTTTTCGCTGGCGTGGTCTTCCACTTCCATACGGAAGTAAGTCGCCTCTACGATGACAAGGCGGAGCTTCTGGCACGTATCGAGTCGTTTGAGAGCCGACTAGGCGAGGACAGGAATGAAAGCGATTTATCCCGGTTGTTAGCTGAGCAGAATAATCTTCGCGATCAGGTGTCAGATCTTGTCAAGCAGATCGAGGCGACGATGGCAGCTGATTTTGAGCGTCGTCTGGAGGAAACGCAAAAACGTATCGAAGAACTTGAGCAACGCGTCCAAACGGTGACATCGGCTAGGCCGCAGGAACAGGCATTTGCAGTTGAAAAAGACGCTCGAACCAAGGTGATAAACGATATTCAGGTCGATCTTGTCGGATGTGCTGAGAAGATGATGTATGTTTATTGTGATGTCAGCCTGAATAACCTGGGACGCACCGGACGCAAGGTTGAAGTTTCCAACGCCGGTACTCTCGTCGCAGACAACAACGGTAATGCTTACCGGATCTCTTCCTTTACGCTTGGAACGGCTTCTGAAAAAAGGTCCGCTACAAGGCCAACGTCTTTGTCAGCAAGGCGCGGCCCGTAAATCTACGCTTCCGTTTTTACTTGCCACATTCCAGGGTCTCTTCCTTTGCTGTTGTGCAGTTCAATGTGGACGGTGCCTCCGTTCCGTTCGAGCAGGTCACGGTGGACCGATAGGTAGTCTCCGGAACTATTGAGCTGTGATTTGGAAATTTCTGGCACGCAGTTGACGGGCGCCAGCAGAAGAGGGTTTGAAAACCGTGTACCGAGCAACTCTTTCGAACGCTCTGGTATTCAGTTTGGCTGCGGCCTGCATGCTTTTTTGTATCCAATCTGTCTCCGCTACTCCTGCAGTCGAAACCAGGAAAAACTACTTCAGCGTGTTTGGAACGACTGCAGTGGAAATCAAGGAAAACCTGAAGCGTTACACTGAAACGCAAACAAACTGGGGCGAATTTTTCTGGGCGAAAAGCGAATGGACGACTGAGTGGAGATACTGGTGGCGGGAACTGGAAACCGGATGTGGACTATCACGTGTCGAGGCATCCGTCATCGTTGAGAACTGGTTGCCTCGCTGGTTGAACAAAACGGATGCAACGCCTGAATTGAGGGCAAGATTGCGACGAACAACAGCCGCGATTGACCTGTATTTGCGTCAATCGAAGTCGAACGGCTTGAAGGCCGCCCAGGAAATAGAACAGCTTTATTTGCGAACTGAAATATTTGAAGACTGTAATGAGCTCAAGGAAACAGTTAACAAAAGGGCACACCATATTTCGCGACTTTATCGGGCTAGCGGTAGGGCTATCGAACAGCGGCTTGGATATGGAAGTAAACAATTCCCCGATTTGACCGTACGGGTTGGCGTGCAGACGCCTGTGGCAGGAAGTCCGGACAAGGTAATGCACGGATGGTGTCAACTGTCTGATGATCTTGAGACCATTCAGCATGTCGAGTGCCGTTTCGAGCGTTCGTGTGAACCCCAATCGTCGCGTTGCACGATAAACTACAGCTGGTCCACGGAGCGCATTCAGGTCCAGTACAATGAAGGGGGACCCGTGAGTTGGAACAACACTTCGGCCGAGTATGCCTTTATCGACAGTTCACCATGTGTCCGGAGAACTTCCGACAACATGATCCTTTGCTTCTTTGAGCAGGAACCAGACCGGGTTTGGTTCTATCACTTGCCGTGATAGGACCTTCCGACTTGTTCAAGGTTGCGACGAAAAACTCTCGTGGAGCACAGCAATAGTCTTTTACATGGAAGTTTAGTAGCTGTGGCAAACGGAGCCGTTGGAAAGAGTGGCTCCGCTCGACCTCAATGATGCGCCCTGTGATGGCCCAGTGTTTTGGCCGCGTCGAGTGACTTGGCCGGTTTGAAGCTCTCCGCATCGGCCATGGCCCAAAAGGCTGAATAGCCCGGTAGGTCATGTGCTTCGTCCAGGAGCGCGCCTTTCTTGAGCCAGGAGAAGGCCGCATTTGCAGACATGATTTCGCGCGCGCCGCCACGAAGATAAAAGTGCTCCGGCCTGAATTCGCTGGGATGATTGAGCCCGGCAGC